GTATCTGATATTGATAATATAAGAAAACATAAAAAAGTTTCTGAGAAATTTCAAAAATTAAGAACCGTTTAATTAAAAAAACAAAAAACAACAGAAGTTGACACTGGTCCAATGTGCAACCTACTCATACATTTTCGATCCAGTGTGCGATCTACATATACGTATTGACCTATACTGCATTTGTATTAGTTATTATAGTTATTAATTCATTTATAATTAATTATCCTTCTTGTCTGATAAGAATTCATCATAATTTTATGTATAATTATTATGTCATAAAAGCATCTTTCATGTCTGATAAAAATTCGTCAAATATAATTTGCTTGTTTGGGTGATATAGGTATCCTAATGTAGCACTCATAATAAAAAAAACAAATTTACTTAAAATCACTGTAACGCCGTATTTAAAATAACGTAATTCGACAAAGACAGTGAGACCGTAACTGAATGCCGAACGATTTATAATTATCACGTTTGTATCTCTATTCTCTTCACAAAAATAAATATATATCCCCATGTCATATAGGAAAACGGTGATATTGAATTGAGTCCATGCTACTTTTATGTGTTTGAATTGAGTCTAGCTTATTATTTTAATATCTTTGAATTGAGTCCGATAGACAAAATGTCATGACTACCTATATAACCGGTGACTCACAATTAGTTAATACTTACTTAATTATCAAATTATTACGAGTGAAAAATGAAGTGTATGTTTAAATATTCACCCGTAAAATACTTATTTCTCCTCAAACAATTTTTAATATTTTGTTGTATTTCCAAATATAATAAGATAAGTATGTACTTGAAATTTCCAAATTATTATTTTCAATACCTACATTATAATAAAATTTCCAACAAATTTCAACTCTTTTAGAAATATTTATAAGTATGACAAATTTTCAATTGTTTTTAGTTATTTTCTATAACTGTCAATTAAAAAATATTCTTTAGTTAAAAATTACATTTATTTATTATTATTTTTAATATTTTTAAATTAATTGACTCTTTATTTTTATTATTACAATTAAAGAAAGGGACTCAACTCGAATAACCTAACAATATTGGTTGGACTGAACTCCGATAACTCAAAAATATTTGCGGGACTCAATTCAATATTTGGGTCTCAATTCAACGTCAGCCTAGGAAAAAACACTCATTGACTGTAGGTCGCATGTTAGCCCGGCAAAGATAAGGACAGGTCAATTATCAGTTTTAGGTTGCACATTGGACCAGTGCCCAGAAGTTTTGAAATTATGATTACGGAGACTGAGACATAGGTTATTGGTTCTAAATGTATAACAACAAGGAAGTCACTTTGTTATGGAATAGGTGTCCAATGTATCTTCTCATTGAGTATATTTGAAATCTAAATACGTTTACCTATAGGTAAATGTAACGGATATTTTTAATTTAAATTTTAAATGAGAAATAATAGTAAACGATGAAAAACTATTTTGAGCGGAGACGATCTGTAGCCGATAGTAAAAAAGGAAATTTTATTATATTATTTATATTACTATTAGTAATTTATATTTTTATTATTAATGCGGTAGGTCGTAGGTTGAATTAATTTTTCCGAAATCTTATCGCATAATATTATATAATCATAATTTTAATATTATTTTGCATAATATAATGATAGGTGTTTTAAATTAATATGTTAATATCGACGTATAGGTACCGTAGAATGGCGTGAGGTTCGTGGTATAAATATCAAAATTGTTTAAAAATATTATGTTGTAAAGTAAATATTAATACACGTAAAATATAAATTTCGAGAATAATGTTCATAAACTAATGATTTAGGTTATTTTGTTTTCAAAAATGTTTAATTTTGTAAACTAATTTAATTTTAAATGTCCACAAAAAAAAAAAAAAAACGTGTGTACTATTTCATGTATGCAATTTTAAGATTTCTATAAGAATAACTAATGATGAAAGATCGGAGTATGTTTTCTACTGTAAAAAGAATCTTAGGACACAAAAAAACCCACATCGTATAATCAATACAGTCATCGTTCCATTTAGAATCTAATATATTTTATATATTATAATTTATAATTAAACAATTTTAATTCTGCGAACGTGCGAAATCCGTTTCATATATTATAGAAATTGACAATCGAGTAGATTTATTTATGTACTATGCATTGAAATGGTATTGTAAACTGGCATATCAAAGTTCTTTCACTTGTTTATGTTTATATTTTGATAAATTATACGTTTGATTATCAATGTAGGGTATTGCAGTATTGAGTTAACAATGAATTTATCTGTTTAGTTGTTAAAACTGAAAAGTGTGTGATTGATATATTATATTAATATACGTATTCACAAACTAAAAATGACGACAATAAATACATCATACAAAATTATCATATTTTTTAATAGGCAAGTGCATAATATTATATATAATTTTAGTTTTTACTGACATAACTTATTATTATTATATAATAGCCACGGTAACTTGAATTAATAATTCTTATTTATTCCTATTAAGTCAATAAAATTATAGAAGTAAGTAGATTATTATTATCTTAATAATCTATATTTACATTTATAACGGGTAGACAAGAGTACATTTCTTAACGTAATAACATACGTGTAAATTAGTTGTTTTGAATTTTTAATTCAAAAATATATGCTCTTGACGTTATTCTATTAGGTAATAGCCAATAGGTATAATTTTATGAAATTTTCAAACAAATTTTTGGCTTTGATTATTAATTATTAAGCAAAATTAAGTAATTACTGCAGTACTTTTATATAAAAAATACTAATTATGTTATATTTATAGAGATTTAAGAATAATTTTTTAGTTATGAAACTGAATAAGTAATTAGTAAGATAAATAAAAAAACCCATAATTACTATCACCAAAAAACATTGTTTTGTTAAATGCTATTTTATCATTCCAAAGGTTTCAAAGAGACTATTAAATTATTATATATTAATTGCAAATGACGGTCAATGTTTAGAAAAAAGTAATTTTTTGATTGACTCAGCAGTTTTTGTTAGTGTTAATAGTCACGGTGTACGAAGCCACTTACTCGGCAATTGAGCCAATATAATAAATTTTATTAGGTGAAAATAAATTAAAAGAATTATAACAAGTGCAATTTTAATTGACATTTGCTTTAAAAGAATATCGAATGCAATTTATCTTCACTTTAAAATTTACAATAATAATTGATACATTATTATCTTCCTTCAAATTGGATAATATCCAAGTATCTATGTACGAATATCAAACCGGGTCTTAGTGTTTTTTCAGTTTAGTGTTACTAATATTGATTAATGATTATGGGTTTTCAATTTCATCGACCTAAGTGTATATTTTGATAAGATCAAATTCTGAATTATGGCTTTTTGATCAGCGAAATATTTTCTTCTGATGTAATGATAATTTACAACTACGAAGTTAAATGGTAATGTAAATTACGTGCGTGCTCATTTAAATTAATAAAAACTGACTGTTTTAATGATTTACTCACTGATATAAAAACGATAAAATACTTAAATCAACCATCAGTTATCTTTCTTATATTTGACCTTATAATTAGATTCTTCTGTAATGTAGTTATTAGTTTAGATAACTCCTTCTGTTTTCTAAACTAAATGATTGGCTACTCTTAGGTAAAAATTAAAATACTGTATTGTATAGACCGTGAAAAATATGTTTATAAATAGGTCATTTAAATTCGATTCGAAAGAATATAATATTTTACTATCTAAATTAAACAAATAGTATATACTTCCTATGGTTTAAAATCTGAAATATTTAACGTGTAAGTTTTTTTCTTTAATTTCTTAAATAAAGTAGATAAATTTGAGTATTTATTTAAATTCTTACAGTAAACATAATAAGATATATTTTTTTAGTGTAAATAATTTTATGAAAATTGTCACGTTAATTAAAAAAAAATATAATAATTGAAGATATGTAATTGTAGGTATTGCATAAATGAAATCAAAAAGGATAATACATTTGTTTACAAATTGGGGTTAGGTATAATTTTCCTATGGTGTTTAACGTCAACTACCAGTATGGTCATGGTCGGCGGATTATACTACGACATGCTGTATTTCATTGACACTGTAATTAAAACGTAAATAGAAGAGTATAAACTATTAAGAAGCTAAGTTAATATTATTGCGTATGTTTTGTAAAGATTCTTTTCTTTTATCAACCAATAAATTTTAAAGTTCTCGCAGGAAATTATATATTGGGCTTTTATCCTGTTAAATATAACATAATATCATATATTATATTGGTGTAATATTTTTAATATTCATAAGTAATCGCTTACGAGTAAAGCGATCTTCAGTGTGTATTGTTAGTTTTTTTTCTTTAAATCAAACAATAATACCAATACAGAGACATCGTGCTGTATAGGTTCTATAGTGACATGATGAAGTGCTAGCAATTGTCGAAAATAAGTTGCAAGGATTCAGGCGCTAATTCAAATAAACTATTTGATTTTTTTTCAGCAACAAAAATGTTTTTTTAACAACAAAAAATATTGTACTGAAAACATCTGGAAAGTACTGTATTGTACTGTAAATTAGAAAAAGATACATGTTTGTCAGCACTGAAAGCATTCACCTACCTATACTATAAGTACAATCGATTTTATGAGCGTTTGAATGGAATATTGTACATTTATCACATTTATAATACAAGAGTAAAGCATTATGTGCATTTTATAAGACTAACAGAGGTTGATGACGTCACTCCAAAATGGTCTTAAACATAAAATAAAAATACCGATATTTTTAGTAGAACTTTGTACACTATAATAGATTGGGATAGACTGATAAAGTTGTGAAGCGATATTGCTATTAATTATTGAACCAGAGTCATCTACTTCTAAATCTAGTTATTATTGAACGTATACTTGTTTCATACTTTTGGGTTTTTTAAGAGACAATAATTTACTTCATATATATATGAGTCAAGAGGGTCGTAATTAATTGTGAAATGTGTGGATACTCACCAGACTCCGGTAACGGGTAAAATTTTCTTTTTCGAGCTGGGAATTGTCGGCATTTCTGTTAGCCAATAGCGGTTTCTTCTCATCTTTGGGGCTCATGGTGAAAACGCACAGTCGGAGAGCGCACACCGAATTGGGATTTATAATTTGGTGAAAACTTTATCGTATGCACTTTCAGTAGTTGTGCTCGTCGAGTGTTTTTTAGGATTACCGTGCTCCCCACATTCTGTGTGATATGAACGTACTTATGTAATAATTTAATTTAAGGTACAAGGTGTGTTTGAGATCACCAGCCGTCAATCGTAAACTGATCTTAGGAACGGACTATCAGCCTGACACCCACCGTCATAGTCATCGGCATGGAAGGGGAAGCCGAGCTGTGTAGTGGTTATGTAACATGTTGAGAGCCAGTAAAAACGCACAAACACGGAAAAAAGGTATTGTGAATAGTAATATTGAAAAGGTACAGTATAGTATACTCGTATTATTATACTCACACGCTACATGCGATCGGCTTCACACTCATCTCGACTTGTATGTCTTGACTTCTATAATATGGGCATCACTGGAAAATTGCCATCACATTCATCTTAGTTGAATACAGTATATTTATTACCTATAATATTATGTACTATTATTATTGAGTATACTATTGATTTTTAAACTCTATTAACATAAAGTAAGCATTAAATAAAATAATTACAATAATATTCTAATGTTTATAGGTATTTATAAATTATTTTATTATTGGGATAAATTACCTCTTGGCTCTTGCAAGTATATATGATATGATCAATTGTTATTATTTTTTAACTTAAAAATACGTTATATCCATATATTATTATGTTGACTTCGTCTTAAAAATGCATAATATATCAATTTTTATGTAAATAACAATCAATTTAATAGTATTATTTTTAATATTAAAAAGGTATTTACAAAAAAACTACAATTTTAAAATATGCTAAACTTTTTTTAAAATTGGAGATGGATACAAATTATTGTTTTTAAAAGTAATTTAAACGAATATAATTTTATTATCTAGCTAAAAAAAATATTTTCAACCAACATTTTTATTAGCCAAAAATTAATAATTTCAATATTACTGTGTGCGATTAAAATAACACAAAATGTATTATTTTACAGGTTTATTGTTTATAAATATAATTTATTGTTTTCTTAAGAATTGTAAACTATGTAAATGCAATAAAATAATTGTATTAATTCATAACTATAATTGACTTAGAACATACATTTCGTTTATGGTACTGCAACAGACAACAATGGGTCAGTGTGACGATGCCGATGCGGAATGAACAAAATGTATACCATTGATTGATGTATGTGACTTCGTTATTTAAACATATTTACAACCTACCTACACAATAATTAAGATACTTGTATCATAGAAAAAAAAAGAAATATCTTAAATCATCGCACGTCTGAATATACAAATATGAAATATTAGATACATTGTTTATCGTATTTAATGTTGATACACACAGTCGGTGGACTAAGTCGCTAGCTACTGTGCATTTGCGCAGTGAACCGGTTTCATTTTATACCATCTAAGCTGAAATAAAATAAGCCGATATGTATTGTATTGTTAAAATAAAATATTTAATATAGATAAATCTAAGTACTAATTACTGTATATTAGTTAATCAGATTCAATTTTATACAAGTTTGATTAATTGGGTATTACCTACCGTGTAAGTCTACTCACGACTTCATGTTACACTTGTTGGTCGTTAATAATTAGTGGAATTCACTCAGTATTATTTTAAGTATGTTATATTGTTTAGCACATTAGAAACATTTATGATCTTTTTTGTTGGAACAAATGCTGGACTTCTTTCAGAATTTTAGGTTTCTTATTTACTTAATAAGGAATAGGTTCAATAATAATAATACTGGTTGACATTTTCGTCTGACGATGGTAATTTTTTGTTTGGATTAAATTGTGCGATATAGTAAGGCTGTGTATAACCATGGACATAATATAGAGTTATGTACACTAAAAATCTATAGTTTCTTTATAGTCCATGTCCTCCTCTTCAACAGAAAAATAAAAATAGTTTATTACTCTATACCTATTAACGGCAATATTTATGTAACGTTACTACATTAACAATGAGTATTTGTTGTGTCAAACAACATTGGCAATAATATGCGTATTATTGAAAATTAAATCTAAATTATAGAGTAATATTACTCTTTGATCTAAATATAAAATATTATAAGCAACTTTATTCCTTAATTAAGTTTATTTCAATTTTTTACAATTTTTATATTTTTTAAAAATCAATGATTCTATTAATTTTATATGCTACAAACTATTATTTTCCGTCACTATTTTTCTTCGATGATAAATACTTTTAATACCTTGATTATATTATCATTATATTAATCTATTAATTTAATCGGTATATAATGGGAAAAAACCAAAGAGCGGAGTAGACAATTTTCATTCATAAATTGATATAAATTTTCAGGCTGTTACCAATGATTCAGAGAAAGAAAAGGAAATATTATAAGTTTTTTACAAATACCTTATTAGTATTTTTATAAATTATATTTTTAACTTCATATTATTTGATTATTAATTAGAAATTTGAAAACTCTTGTCATAATTTATATTTTATAGAGGAACTAGGAAAAATAAAAATTTTCATCTCACAATGAATATATAATGCAATTAAGGGGAGTCACATTTAAATTACGCAATAAAAAAATATAAAAAATAAAATTTTTTTATTTCAAATTTTTAATGACAATTTAAAAACTAAAAAATTAGAAAGTAAAATTTTACTGTACACTAGGTGTTGGGTTATTTTGTACAGTAGGAGTTGATTTTTTTTTGTAAAACAGTGGGTTGATTGGATACCAGTCCACTTCTACGTATTAGCGTGATTTGATTCTAGTGTACCTCAATAGATGGAAAAAACGTCATTGGTTTACCTCGCTTTGTAAACTGCCTCTTGATCGAGATGAAAAATCCATCTGTAGTGGACTGGATATAGTATTTGGATTATTTTTGAATTTACTTCAAACTATTATTTTTTTTTTTTTATTCCGATATCTCTAAGAAAAATTAGTCAAATAGTTTTTGAATTTATACTCTACAGGTATAAGAAAACTGCTTTGTTTGTTATGTATTTGAATAGCAAATAATAAATTAAGAATTATTTTCTTCTGTTTAAAGTTTAAAATAAAATATCTTATAGCCACGCACAGTGGGTTGGCGAGTCTATAATATTTTTTTTAAATTTAATTTCTGTAATCTACTGAAACCCTATTTATAAAAGCCGAAAAATAAATTTTTGTATATCAAAACAGAATTTATGTTTGAACCACCTTTGGGGGCTGAAAATGAAATTTGAAACACTCTCCTATAGTCTCAAAGAATCTAATAATATTACTTTTATTGAAATCGGTTTAGTAGTTTTTGAGCTTAGCTGGTAATAAAAACTTATTTACATTTATTTTATGTATATATGGATTAACAAATTGTAAATATTCTCATGTTGTAAAAAAAAAAAAAAAATTAATAATGATTTCAACTAAATATATTGTCTCAAAAAAGGTTCACTGTAGTCTGCACGTTACTAAGTTATTTTGTAGATTTAAGATTTATTTGTAGTAACTTGAAGTTAGGTATATATTTTTACATATTACATCATAAATAGAATTACACGAAGAAAACATTCATAATTCGATTATACTATGTTAATATTTTATTGGTATACAATATTTTTAACTTGAAATTTAAGCTAATAACCTTGTAATTTTTGATGCTGAAACAATAATTTTGTTACACCTTGTACACAATAGATATGTAATAAGTTTATGCCTATTATCATTAACTATAACCACAAACAAAATTATAATACCAGTTTATATTGTTTTTATGTCCTATGGTATAATATGTAATATAATAATATCTAACGCAGTAGATATTTAATTATAAATTATTTTTTACTCAAGAATATATGTGTTAACTATAAGTAAAATAAATAAAAAAATATAATCAATTAATATTATTAATTTTATAAATTTATAATTAATGATAATACATAAATGTGTTACGGACTAACGCAACATAAGTTGAATTAAAAATAGTGAAACTTGCATGGTTATTGGCTTAATGTTTATATAAAATTATATTGACTGAAAGCTATGGGAGGAACGAAACTATGCTGGCTTACACCGAATGATGCAATATATATTTACAAAATTATAACATAACCTATATAATATAACTAAGATAAATAATAAGTTATTATGGGTATTTTATATTGTTATTATTGTATAATTTATTACTAGTAACTATGAATATTTATTATTTATAATTAGATTCATCAAACAAACAACTCAAATACAATGAATATACCATATACCATTTCTTTATATATAAATAGTATTAATTCTATTTTAAATGAGAAAACATTTGTAAAAATAATAAACTAATATTTTTATTTTTGTATTAGTTGGATAAATTATTTAATAACTAAATTTCTTAAATACATACTGTATATCAAATTCCAATAAGTTAATTTGTGTACATAATATTATTTATTTTTTAATCTTTTCAATAATTATTCCCAAAATTTTTTTTTTTTTATCTAGCTGAAAATATTTTTGATGCTCACTATACTTTTTGTAAGTATTTTAAAAAAATAACATAATCAATAAACAGTACTTAAACGAAAAAAAGTAGAACAAAAGAACCTGGGTTCTAATTGTACAAGAAATAAGAATAAGGTATAAATTATTATTTACTGTACGCTTTTAATATTATTATTAAAAAGTTAAGATTGTTGTACATAATTTTTCACTGTATGAATTTCGTATTATACTGTTTATTTGGGGACTTTCAAACGGTCGAATACATTTTCTATACATCTTTTAGTACAACTCAGTATTCTGGAATCGGGTGCCTAATAATTAATAAAGAACATTAGGCTACAAGGACTGTTTTTATTGACCTTTAAGCCAGATTAACTTGACGAGAAATACATCCCTTACAAATATTATGCGAAATTACAATGCTTTAGGTCTTCTTTTTTGTTTTGTTTTCGTTATGTTCTTGTTAATAT